ATATGAGGATCAGGTGGAGGATATGGGGATGTTTAGCTTAGAGAACACCAGGAACATGACAGCTGTCTTCATATATTTAAGAGATTGTCATGTGTACAAGAGATTAGACTTACAAATGTTTAATTCCCCTGAGGGAAGAACTAGAAGCAAGGGTGAAAGTTGCAAAGAGAAAAATTTAGTCCTGAGGTAAGCAAAAACCTCAAAAATTTGAGCTATTCTAAAATGGAATAGGAATCCTCAGAAAGTGGTGGGCTCCCTATCAGCACCAGTCTCTAAGAAAAGGCTGGAGAAACATTTGTCAAGAATATTGTAATCGGGTTTTTTTTTTTCTGGTATGGGTTGGACTAGATGACAATGGAGGACCCTTCCAACTAAAATTATGTATGAAAGGGCATCAGAAAAAGAAGCACCAACATTGTGAAACCAAAGACCATTTGAAACCTTAATGAGCTAGATTTTGGTGGGGAAGAGTGGAAAAAATATAGTAACAAAACAATCAGGCTTTGACGCTCATAGATATGCATAATAAAAACAGGAATCTGAGCTGGAGTGGTAGTGGATATCCTGTAGGTGTCTCAAAACTCAACTCAAACCCCTTGCTTCTACAAACTTCCTTATTACTGTTGAAAGCACCAATCTTTTTAGTCAACCAGGCTCACAAATTTGATAGTCATTCATCCTTAGCTCCTCATTCTCTCTCATCCAAGGCCCTCTCCCATATTTAATCATTTGTCAGTCTGGTTCTTTCTGCCTCCATAATATCTCTCATATCTGTCTCCTTCCCTCCACTCAGACAGTGGAGGCCCTAGCTCAGGCCCTCATCACCTATCTTCCTAGACCATTGCCATGGTCACTCAATCTGTCTACCTGCTTCTCGACTTTTTCCAAAACAATCTATTTTGCAAACAGTTTCCAAAGTGATATTCTTCCTGAGCTTCAGTCCTCTATTCCCAACTGTCTGCTGGATATATATACCTAAATTGCTTACCAGCACCTCAAATTCAAAACACATCATTTCCGCCCTCCACAAGAACCCACAGCAGCCTCATCTTTTCTTCTCCATTTCTTCTGATGGCACAAATATTCTCCCAGTCACTCAAGCTTCATCATCTTGGACTCTTTCCTTTCTGTACACTCTCTACATCTACTCAGCTGCCAATTCCCTTTAATTCTACTTCTGCCATATTTCACACCCCTTTTCTTTCCAACCAAACCCTATAATTACACCTTCTTTCGATTATGAAAACACCTTCTTAACTGTGCTCTCCTCTGTGGGGCTCTCATTTCCCTAATCCATCCTGTATCCACAACAAAGTCATCTTCCTAATGCCAGAAGCACAGTATGGACCTGCTCAAAAACATTTAGGAGCTTCCCAGAGATTATAAGATTAAATAGAAAATCCTTAGCTTGGCAATTCAAAACATTCTGAAATCTGGCTCCCATCTCCCTTTCCAGTCTTCTATATCATTACTATTCTCCTTCATAACATGAGCTCATTGCAAGTAGAGATTATTTCATTCTTTGTACTTTTATCTCTGGCACATAGCCTAGGGCCAGGCATTGAGGAGGTACTTAAATACTGGTTGATTGACATATTCGCCATTCTAGGAAAATTTGACTACTAGGCAATCATGTTTCCTCGGCATTTCCCATCTCTGAGCATTTACATGCTCCATGCCCCAAGCCTGAAACAGACTTTCTCTACATATCTGCCTTTTAAAATCATTCCCTCCTTTCAAGGTCCAGATCACAAGTCCTTTCTTCTGTGAAGTCTCCTTTCTTGCCTCTTTTCTGAATCTTTCCATTTGATATCTACTGTTCACTTGAAAAGGGCATCTGGGTGGCACAGTAGACAAAGTTCAGGGCCTAGAGTCAGGAAGACCTGAGTTTAAATCTGGACTCAGTCACTTATTACTGGTGTGACCTTGAGGAAGTCATTTAACCCTGTTTGCCTCAGTTTCCTCATCTGTAAAATGAGCTGGAGAAGGAACTGGCAAACTACTCCAGTATCATCACCAAGAAAACTCTCAATAGGGTCATGAAGAGTCTGACATGATTGAAACAACTGAACAACAACAGAAACAAAATGCACTTGAAACTCTCTAAATTATTTTACAGTTATTTGTAAGTCTGTCTTGTCCCCTATTATATTATAAACTGTGGAAGGGCAGAGACTACATCATTTTTTGTCTTTGGGCCCCCCATACCTTGAACAATGATTTGTGTTTGGTAAGTGCTCAATAAATGTTGAACTGACACGATGATTTGAAGGAACCATAATATCTGTCCTCGAGGAGTTGATAATCTGGTAGGGCTATATAAGATAAAAATACAATTCTATATTCTTGCTATGTACCATAGTTAAGTGCCTACTTCTCTGCTAAATACTGTGGGGTAAACAAAATAAATCTTAGACATGGTCCTGTACTTAAGGAGCTTATAATTTACTAGGGTGATAACCACACATACACAATATACATGAAACAATGAGAGAATGCTTAAAGTTAATGATTGAGATTAATATTTAATGTGTGTGATTCCAAGTACACTAGCAGTTAAGAGAAGGGAGAGATCAGTGTGGACTAGAATAGTCAGAGAAAGATTCATTAAAAAAAGAAAAAGAACCTGAACTGGGCTTTTACAAGTCAGATGGATTTAGATTAAAATGGAGAGAAGCATGAAGTTCACTGCAAGTAGGTAAATCAGCATGGACCAAAGTATAGCACATAGACAGAACAGAATATGTGGGAGGAATGAACAGTGAGCCCTTCTTGGCTAAACTGGCCTGTTAAAGACCTTAGCTTAAAAAGGCCAAGGTCTCCCACTGCATCCTGGGCCATCTCCAGTTGTCCTGATCTATATCTGGCCACTCTATCCACATGGCTCTGGAGGAGAAAGTGAGGCTGGTGACTTTGCACAACCCTGCCTCATTTAAATCCAATTCATTTGCATGTCATGGCATCACCAACCTGATGTCATGGTCATCCTCGAGGCCACATGTTGGAAGAATGTTCATGTGAAAAAGAGGTACTAAAAGCCAATGTACCTCTGCACTGGATTAATCTACACTGATTTCTTCTCTGGACATTTAGCAGAATAATATACTCTTACATCTGGAAGGGACATCAGAATTCATGGCGTTCAAACTTACTCAAATGCAAATCTCTGACAAGTGGTCATCTATTCACCACTGAAACACCTACAGTGATGGAGAACTCGCTGTCTCCCATGGTTATACATACTATTTTATAAAAGATAGCTCTAATTATTGATTGTTCCTTACATTAACTCAAATTTACTTCCCTCAAAATGCTACCCCTTAGTGCTAGTTATGTATCGTTAGGCCAAATAGAAGACTGACACTTCTTCCGTATAACAATCCTTTAAATATCTGGTCTGCTATCATCTCTCCTTCCCCACTATAAGTGGAAATTATATATGTTTTAGTACAAGGCTTGGAGGAACTTAGATAACTGTAGGGTACTATATTTTCTTGATGATTTCCCTGTTTAGACTCATTTCAGTTAATTCGGATTGATCCCTCTTACTCAGTAACCTACTATTTGAAGAATTTGGATATTATATATATGACAGAGTTTTGGTATGAGAAAGAGAAAACAAATTATAACACAATAACAAGGATATTCAAAATGGGATGAAAACTGAAATGCAACTAGGATGCGTGGTAACATGTTATAGCAATGACTAATCCAAGATTTCACAGGAATTAATTTGAATAAAACTATATTTAGGTTGAAATCTGGCTTTTTAAATTCAAAGAATGACATTTTAACATACAAATCGTTTCAAATTCAAAGCTATGTGTTACTTTTGAAAGCAGGCAGTTAAAATTTTGTTTTTACAGTTTGCTTTCAATACACATGGCCTTCATTTTATAAAACAGAGGATGCCTGGAGAGGTGAAGATGAAAAGGATGAGACTGCTAGAGAGGCTGTGCAATGGTGAGACAACAGGCATGTTTGTCCTGTTAGAATGAAAACTTCTACCATAAGGTCAGAAGGTGGACAAAGTTTATTTCCGGTTACTCTCCCAAGTGCAGCCATGGTTTGAAAGGCTGGGAAAAGTTCATCCCTGTTTCCTGGTCACTCAACAAAACAGGCATGTGACATTTGTAAATCACTCTAGAATGACTTCCACTGACAGAACACATAATTTTGTCATTTACTGTTTGAAACAATAACTTTAGTATGTCACTAATTACAACACCTACTTCCTCCATGGATTTTCCCAATACTTCACGTTTACATATTTTTAAGAGGGCAAGAATCATAGAATCATAGTTCTAGAGCCAGAAGAGACCTGAAAAGCCATGTATTCCAAACCCCTCATTTTACAGAGGAGGAAACTGAGGCCCAAAGAGGTTAAGTGACTTGCCCAAGATCATATAGGTAGAAAGCATGAAAGTGATATCTGAACCCAGGTCCTCCTGACTCTAGAGCCAGTGTTTTTCCACTGTATCATAAAGGAAATAAGTTTGATCCAAACTTTTTTTTTAGCATTTGCAAAGATAATAAAAATATAGTGTGTTACAATATACCATAAAATTTTCAGAGTTTCCACTCTCAAAGAAGATATATAGTAACACTATATGTATGAAAACAAATGACTCATCATGATGGAAGGAAATTCTTTGGGAATCTAGCAGGGTCACTCATTAGGCTGCATTCATTTTTCTATATCATCTGTCATCATTTCTGCTATGACCAATGGATGAAAGTATTATTAAAGTATTTCGCTTCTTAGCAGGATGATGATACAACATGGCTAGTACTCTTTGTAAGTGATTTAAAAGTAGGGCTGGTCATTGGCAAGTGTAACCAGCCCAGTCTCCTCTTCTGACCATGAGGTATATAGCTCACGTTTTATGAGTATTCCCTTTCCTACTGCAGATACCTGAAAATAATGAAATTTCCATAGGAATTAATTCTAACAAGATCTGGTTGAGATCAACAGCATTTATGAAAAGGTATTTACTTACCCATAGTGAAGTAAAACCTCAGATTTCCATAGTCTGTTGTGTCCATGTATGGAGTGCATATTTTTCTCTCTCCTTCTTTTAGGAAGATCATGGATAAACCTGATTCTAGAGTTCCACATTCATTGCCAAGGACAGCTCCCAAGATATCCCACCTGAAATAGAACAAGAGATCCATTAAGAATAAGATGGGTAAGGCAAATCTAAACAAAGAGAATCATCCACCTTACTTAAAGCAAGGACAGCTCCCTTCTTAATGGGTAGTCTTGAAAATAATGAAGTTGTGAATATAAACTTTAAGGTATAAGCAAAAAAAAAACCCAACAACAAACAAACCTTGGTGACCCCAGGCTTGTGATAACTCGGTTTTATTCTTTATATCTCAGACTTCAAGTGACTAGGTTCTTGCATCACTTTGTAGGGAATCAAAGAATCTTAGGGGTGGTTTGAAGGGTTCTGAGATATCATCTAGATCAAATTATATCTCAAGAATCTATGAAATACAAACAATGGGAGACTGGACATCCAGTCTTGCTTTCAAAACTTCACATGTTCTGAGGTAACTAAATCCGGTTCTGAGAAATTTTGATTATTAGGAAATTTTTTTTTTCATATTGAGCTAAAGACCTAACTCTTTGTGACTCTCACCTACTGGTCCCCTGCCCTTTGAAATGAGGCATATTAAATGTAATTACTCTTCCAGATGACATAAAGTCACATATGGCTTATCAAAGTGCAAATGTCACAAAGCTGGCAGGGGAAAATAGCTAATGCATTCATAGCATGAGAGAAATGTGGATTTTAAAATACCTCAACAGGCTAAAAATAAAATAGGTCAATGTGAATGAATGAATGAAAAAGCATTCGTTAAGGGCTTACTATGTTTTAGGCACTGTGCCAAACAATAAAGTACAGTGATACAAATACAAAAACAAAGACAGTCCCAAAGATGCTCCCAAGAAGCTTAAATTTTAATAGAGACAAGACCTATAAGAGATCAATGGATCACCAGTTACATGGATCATGAGCAGAATCACAAGGCAGATGACTGATGACTCCTTTCTAAGAATGGTAGTGTTGATTTAGTTTCCAGAAAAAGAGGTGGAGAGAAAGAGAGAGAGAGAGAGAGAGAGAGAGAGAGAGAGAGAGAGAGAGAGAGAGAGAGAGAGAGAGAGAGAGAGAGAGAGAGAGAGAGAGAATGAGAATGTGTATGTAAGAAATGGGGGGTATATGGGGCAGCTAGGTGGCACAGTGGATAGAGCGCCAGCCCTGAAGTCAGGAGGACCTGAGTTCAAATCTGGCCCCAGACCAAACACTTGACACTTTCTAGCTGTGTGACCCTGGGCAAGTCACTTAACCCCAATTGCCTTAAAAAAAAAAGAAATGGGGGATATACTAAAATGCATTGCAAAAAGAAGATTGGATTGCATTGCAACAGATTTGAGGTACCTGAAGATCTTTCACCACCTAGGACTCTGGGGCAAGAGCTGAAAAGCCTGATAAGAGGCTAATAGTAGAAGCTAGGGAGCAGCAACATGGGATCACAGACACTTAATAAATGTATGCTGACTGACTGTGATAAATAAGGCTGATCTACACCATACATTATACGCATCTAGGGGCACCAAGATGTGTTGAACTCTCATTGTTTTCTCACTATGGTAATGTATACCACCAGAGCAGATAAAGCCCTGTCTACATCTTAAAAATTTTCCTGAGTTCTTTTAGAGAGGTTAAGTGACTTTCCCATAGTCATACAGTCAGTGTCAGAAGTGGGACATGAACCCAAGATTTCTTGACTTCAACTCTAGTATGGTAGAGTGGATGGAGTGCTGGGCTTGGAGTCGAGAAGACCTAGGTTAAATGCCACCTCTGACACATGCATATGAATACTGGCAAGTCACTGAATTTCCATGACCTTCAGTCAGCTTTTTTTGGCTGCCACATCATATTACTAATGCACATTAAGTTCTCAGTCCACTAAAACTCCTAGGTCTTCTACACAAGAATCACTTTCTAGGCACAATTTCTTCATTATGTACCTTTATAACTGATTTTATAAAAATATATTTTTATTTCACTAAATTTCCCAATTACATGTAACATTTTTAACATTCTTTTTTTAAAAAATTGAGTTTCAAATTCTTTCCCTTCCTCCTGTCCCTCCCCCACCCTTTGAGAAAACATTAATTTTATATTGATTATACATGTGAAGTTAAGCAAAATATATTTCCATATTTTTCATGTTGCAAAAGAAAATAAAGTTAAAAAACCCCCAAAAGAAATAAAGTTAAAAAGGTATACTTCAATCTGCACTTGGAGTTCATCAGTTCTTTCTCTGAAGGTAGAAGCATTTTTCATTACGTTGTTGTTCTGTCTTGTCCGACTCTTTGTGAACCCATGGGCATGCTAGGCCAAGTCTATCCTCCACAATCTCCTTTTCATCATGGGTCCTTTGCAATTATCTTAGATTATTTTCTTGATCAGAATTAAGTCTTTTACAGTTGATCATCACTACAATGTCACTTTTTGCTGTGTACAATGTTCTCCTGGCTCTTCTCACTTTGCATCAGTTCATATAAGTTTTTCCCTGTTTATCTGAAACCGCTCTGCTCCTCGTTTCTCTTACAGCAATAATATTCCATCACAGAAATTGCTTTTTAGCTCTACTATGGGTGCTTTAAAGTTTGTAAAATGCCTTACATGTATAATGTCATTTAAGTCTCCCAATATTCCTGTGAAATAAGTATTACAGATTAGCATGTTTGAGGAAATATCAACATGTAGGTTGAAATGCTGAAGCATGAGAAAAGGAGTTGGGGTAAAAAGATGAGTGGGAGCCAGGCACTGAACTCGTTGAGAAAGAAGGGAGAATGTTCTGTTTAAAGAACACTAGGATCTAGACTAGGTGGTAAATTTGTATAGAATCAACCCCTGAGGAGGAGTGGATATAGAATGGGTGTAGAGAAAGAGTCTGGAAATAGCAATGTGGAGCAAGTTTAGTCAAGGAGTATGAGAAAAGGTACAACCAATAGTGCAAAATATAAGGGTGTAGGGTTGGAGTAAGGGGATACCTACTTTATTCCAGTAGAACTCAGAAGGCCTAGAAATGTCCATTGAATCAATTACCCCTACGCCAATGAAAATAACTACAACATACCCTGATCTTTATCAAGTCGGAATTTCCTGGTGCTGTAAAATAATCAAATGTATAAAATAGTTGTAAACTATTCCACTATTGAAATACATGCCACTATTGAAACAAGCAAAGTCAGAGACTTGGTACAAACAACCTGGTTAAACAAACTGGGAAGAAGGGAAGTGCTTTAAACCATTGGATGAAACGAGCTGTTGCTACACAGGAAGCTTACTGTGATTGCTTAAAAACAACCGGTTGCCCCTTGTGAGTCTTGGATAGAACAGCAAGGTAATTCAGAAGCTAAAATTCTAATAGCAGGTGAGCCTGTGGATAGAACAGTTACATCTAATTCTATGAAAGGGAATCACTCTGAGGTAGGGAAGACAGCATCTCTGTCATACCTCCCCTCAAGGAGAATGATTTTTGAACTTCCAACAATGAGAGGATTTGGGCTTCCCCTCTTAGCTGGGAACAGTGTCTTAGGTGTAGCCATCATTGGAGGACAAAGGAGACATACTGAGGAAATTCGGCATCTGACTTCACAAGCTATGTCTAATGGGAACTTCATTATGACTTCTAAAAGTGAAAAAGGATTTCCAGAAACCAGGAGCTGTGAATTATTCCTTTGCCATAAGTGTGCTGAAATCCACTTTCCCTGTATTGGCTGTTCTTACTATGTGCTCCCTTGGTATACACCCAATTCTTTAAAAAATTCTATTTTCTTTTTCTTTATTTATTCTTATAAACTTATATTTTTTCCAATGACATGAAAGAACAGTTGTTAACATTCATTTAAAAATTTTTGAGTTTTCTCTCTTTCTTTCCCCTCCCTGAGGAGACAAGCAATATACTCGATTCTTAAAGGTAATTAAATCTGACAAGATAATATTAACCAATAATCAATGGAAAACACACCACTGGGTGCTCATATATGATAGTATTAGAAACCAATTTCTGTCTCTCAAGCTTACCCCTATAACCTTGAGGGGCATAGTCACCTGCCCTTTGTGGCCATGACCCAACAACGTGAGTACAAGTTGTAAAACTGGCCCTGACCAAGAAGAAATGATAAAAAGAAAAAGGAATTCTTTGATGATTTTTGAAGCTCATATAATTTTATTAGAGACATTTTAACAAGATTTGGGTGAGTTACTAGATATCAGGGATAAAAATGAGGGAGTTAAAGAGGAGTCCAAGTTTTTAAGTCTAGATCAACCAATCACCCAACCAATCAGTTATATGTTGAGTTGTGATGGGTGACGGGGAAGATGATGTGACCACAGCTAATGTCAGGAAGCTTAGGAAGAAGAGGAAGTTTGTGTGGGGTGTGGGTGGAGAAAATGATATCTTCTATTAGGATCTTGGATTTATTTTGTTCTTTTGAGCCTTAAAATAGTAGATAAAAAGACAATGGCTCTGAAGAGGGCTACACTGGTTGTTAGGAAACGTTGGCTCAAATTGAGGAAATACTTTTTCCTGTGTGACCTTGGACAATTTACATGCCTCTCTGGGCCTGATTCCTCATGTGTAAAATAAGGGAAAAATAAAATAAAGTCTCAGGTCCTAAATCTTTTATCTTATGAAACTGAAAAATCCACTGTCAGTTCCTCCTGTGATTCAAACTTTCTTTTCAATCACAGAGGCAGTTAGCTGGTGCAGCAGACAAAGCGCCGGAACCGGAGTCAAGAAGACTTGAGTTCAAATCTGACTTTAGACACTTACTAGGTGTGTGACCCTCTGCAAGTCCTTTAACCTCTGTCTCAATTTCCTCATGTGTAAACAGTGGCAATAATAGCACCTACCTCCCATGGTTGTTGTGAAGATAAAATATTGTTAAGGCCCTTTGAAAACCTCAAAGGTTGCATAAATGCTGGCTATTATTATTATTATTATTATTATTATTATTATCATCATCATCAGGAAATAAGTGTCTTCTTCAATTGCTATTTTATATTGATTTGTCAACATGGATGAGTGACTCATCTTCCTGATTTTAAGTATTTTGCATTGCAAGGGTTCTTGTACCTTTGGGTAATTTTACTTTAAAGGATGCAATTTGTATAAATAACTTCTTGTTAGTTACCTAATTTAAAAAATTCTCCTATTGCATGGAGATATTTTTCACATTAGGAAATATTACATATCATTTGCCAATATATCTTCTTCGTTCTTCTCCTCTAGTCAAAGTCAATGACAAATTAAGATCCATCTCAGTGTGTTTAATCTATCAGTTTAGATATTCAATAGATGAGTGCTAGTTCTATTAAATCAATCATTCAATCAACAACCATTTATGAAGTAAAAAAATTTGTTCTATAAAACTTAGACTCAGTCAAAAGGCCACACCTGCAGACGTGGAAGGCCACACATGGCCTTGAGGCTGCAGATTCCCCATTCTTGGTATATCTTTTGATGAAAGGTATACAAGACCTCAACTTTAGTTCTTTCAAAGGCACAGCTTTTATTAACTGCATGAGCTTCAAAAATCATCAAAAATTCCTTTTTCATATCATTTCTTTTTGGTCAGGGCCAATCTGATGAACACTACCTGCACAATGGATTTTTCTACAGATGGGATAAACTAGGGTAAACATAAAATTTTGGTGATTTGCCCAAGGCCACATAACATATGAGGATCATAAATGTGGGTCTCCTGATTCTTAGGTCAGTATCCAACTACTAGTAAAGTAAGAGAGGCTTTTAGATCTGAGAAAAAGGTGTGAATCATTCTGCCTTTAATAAAGATAGACATAAAATTCTACAAAATTTGGGATATTTTATTTTAATGTTTTTTTTTATTGATGTTTATATTTTGTAAGCATTTCCACAGTCTCCTGTGGAAAGTAACAGTTCAAAGAAGAAAATTGATTTTTGAACATGCCACCAAACCACCAAAAAATAAATAGTTGAGCCTTTTTTTTTTGCTCATAAAAGGTAAATGCACACTGGTTCATTGGTCTTTTCTATGCTCCATTTATCCCAATTAAAACACTCAGCCTAGTGATCCACAAAAGAAACTGGTCTTATAAATGATGCAGATTATTTCTCTTTCTAGGTATTGGACTTTTTTAGGGTATTTTTAAAAATGAAAAAGATAAAATGGCATATAGGAAAATAGAAGGCACAGCTGAGGGACAGGGTTGGTAACCTTTGTCCCTTAATTTTTAGTTTTATATCTTAATAACTTTTGAGGATTGGTTTACATAAAATATATTTGGAAACACTGCCACAGACCCATTTTATGTTTCACAGACTATTTAGAAATTGGGTAGAGCTACTCTTTGCTTCAAAAATCAGTTTTTATTGTTCCTCCTGTTACTCATGGCTGATTAAAAAATCATAAACAAAATTGCATTCCTTGGAAACACAAATGTTTCTAAAGGTTACGGGAGCTAGGAAGCTTTCCTTAGTGAGCAATAAGGAAAGGAAACTTATAAGCAAAAAAATTCATCTTGAGGAAATACCTACTCTTGAAATAACGTGACTTTGAAGTGTACTAAAAATTCAAGTCAAGTTGATTATTATACACCCATCATTACATAAATTAGGATATTTTACAGCACAATGGTGCTATGACAGACCTAAAACTCAACTGGGATTTAGGAGACTTCTGTTTTAGTTTTGAGGGTGCTTTTAATTGGGTAATTGACCCTGGGCAAGTTACTTTGGATCATAAGATCATCTATTTAGAGGTGGAAGGGGCCATAGAGGTTATCAAGATCATCCCTTTCATTTTCCAGATAAAGAATCTCAGGCAGAAGATGGTTAAGTGATTTTCCCAAAGTAAGATAGGTAGTAACAACAAAGCAGGATTTGAGATCAGGTCTTTAAATACCAATTCCTGAAATTCCCATTGTAATAAAATTAACTGGGCTCAGTTTTCTCATCTATAAATGAAAGAGTATAACTTGTTAATGAACTCTAAAGGTTAGAGTTGTTGACCTCTCTTATTTCTCAAGATTCTAGGATGCTCTAAATAACATAATTGCATGTAGGGACATCCTCATATCAGGAAACCAGTAAGGCAAGGTTGGTTGAACTCTTATTTTCAATGTTAAAAATAGTTTTCTCAAATAATTTCTTCAATTAAAAAATTAATTTAAGCACTTACTGGGAATGATGAAAGGAAGTGTATAGTAAAGAGAGTGTCAGCCTTGGAGTCAGGATGGCTTCATCTCTAACAAACTGTCTTTGACCTTGGGCGAATCACTTAACCTCTCAATACCCCAGACACCACCCCCCAGGGGCTATAAGTTGCCCTCTCTAGATACTACCATACCTGCCAAATAATTCTATACCTCTTTTCCCCATTTCAGCAAAATTCCTTGGAAATGCCAATTTCACTTGATGTTTCTACTTCCACTTCCTTTCTCTTCTAAACCCTCTTTGTTCTGGCTTCTGATCTCATTATTTAGTTGAATGGCTTTCTTCAAAGTTACTAGTGACATCATAATTACCTTTTTCACAATTCTCATCCTTCAGAACCAACGAGCTGTCACAGTGGATAGAATGCTAGACCTAGAGTTAGGAAGACCCGAGTTTAAATTCAGTCTCAGACATTCAGTAGCTGTGTAACCTAGGTAAGTCACTTAACCTCTGTCTTAGCTTCCTAATGTGTAAAGTGGGAACAAAAACAACATTTACCTTCTAGGGATGTTGTGAGGATAAAATAATATTTGTAAACCACTTTGCAATCCTTTAAACTCTAGATAAGTGATAATCATTAGTATTTTTTAACCTCTCTGCAGTATTTGATGCCAATTACTGCTTTTTCTTCCTAAATAATCTCTCCTCTCTGAGGTTCTCCTCTTACCTGTCTGACAGTTCCTCTGTCTTCTTTGCTAGGTCCTCATCCATGTAATTAATGCCCACTAATTGTGGGTGCCACAGAAAGCTTATCTCAGGCCCTCTTCTCTTTTCTCTCTGTACTCTCTCATTAGTTCAATCATCATCTCTATACATATGATTCCCAAATTTGCTTACCCAGTCCTTCTCTCTTCCCTAATTTCCACTCTTGCATCAATATCTTCTTATTAAAAACATTTTTTTAATTGGGATGTCTCATAGATTTTAAAAATTCAACACGTCAAAATAGAATTCGTTCTCTTCTCTCCCCCCATTTCCCCGGCCCAACATAGTCCTATTCTAATAGTATGCAGCAAAATGTTTGATAACTGGTTTTCTGAATGCAAGATACCTTTTTTTAAAAAAAGATTTATGAAATAAAACAAGCATTTCTTTAACATAGCAGAATAAAAAAAAAGATGATTGCACATGAAATTACAAATCAATTATGTACAACTTGCTATTCCTTTAAAATGTATGATAAAGTTATGTAAATTTCTTTCTTTTCTTCCCTCCCTCCCCCCCCTTCAGGTTTAATCTGCATCATTAACATTTTTTTCATAACTTTCTTAAGTCTAACTAATCCAGAAAACAATGAAGGAATTTTTCAATTTGCAACATTTGCTGATTTCCAAAGTGTAAACATTTATGCTTAAGATTTAACAATTGGATTGGCAGGAGCTGACTACAACATGCCTGTCCTATTCTAAACATCCCAGTTTCTGTCAAGGGTACCTCCATTTTACTATATTGGCAACCTCAACTCTTCTCTTGCCCATCTCACACATATGATCACTTGCCAAATTTCTGCAATATCTCTCACATATATCTCTTACTCTCTACTCATACAGTCACCACTTTGCTTCAGTCACTGATTCTCTCTCCTGGATTGTTACAAAATCCTTCTAATTAGACTTCCTGCCTTCAGTCTCTGCCTAATCCAATTGATCTTCAACTCAGTTGCAAAATTATAAATTCAACAATATTCCCCTTTACCTCCCCCTCAGTAAGCTCCAACATCTTCTTACTATTATTACTTACTTACTTACTATTTAAAGATCTTCATACCTGGCTCCTTTCTACCTTTTCAGGCTACTTATATAGTATCCTTCTCTATGGTCCAGCTATAGTGGCTTACTTGCTGTTTCTCACCCACAATTCTCCATTTCTCACTTCTGTGCTTTTCTCCTGGATGCCCCCATCCCTGTAATGCTCTCTCTCCTGCACTCTTATCTCTTAGAATCTTTTTAAGGCTCAGGTCAGGTACCAGTTCTTTCAGGAGGCCTTTTCTACTTTCCCCAGATTTTGGTGCATTCCCCTCTAAGATTACCTCCAATCTACATAAAATGTATCTTGTATGTCCTAATTAATATCCTATGTTGAAATGAAAGTTTCATGGAGGCAGGAACACTTTTTGCTTTTTTTCCTCTGTATCTGCAGGAATTAGCACAGTGCCTGGAGCACAGTGATAATAAATGTTCCTTGATTGATCTACATTGGCATAAGGTATTTGTTCTCTGGGAATTACTATAATATTAATGAAAGATTACAGATTGAGTTAAAAACTCATAATATGCTATATTATGGATATGAAAAAGAATTAAGCCACATTTTCTGTCCTTAAGAAATTTAAATATATAAATAATACAAATAATTAAGAAACATATAAATAATTAAAATGCAAATTATGTGGGAATGATTTCTTTAATGTAGGGAATTGAAGAGCAGGAGTTTCTTCCAACAAGGCAACAAGAAATAATATCTGGAAGTTGTCTCAGAGAAACATTAAATGATTTCCCCCAGGACAGCTAGTAAATTTAGAAACTGAATTTGAACCCAGTGCTTCCAGACTCCTAGTCCAACACTTTATTGACTATACCAGGGGTGGGGAACCTGCAGCCTTGAGGTCACATGTAGCCTCCAGGCCGAAGGTTCCCCACTCCTAGACTTAGACCAAACTGCCTTTATAAACATTAAAAATACAGTAAATGCCTAGGAGAGATTCAGGGTGGTATAAGAATTTCCAAGAGGAAGAGATCACTTAGAGTTGTGCAGCTTGAAAAGCTTCTCCTATGGGAATTTTCTATTTTGCTGGTTTCTGTTACTGAAATACAAATATTTGCATACTGTACATTTTTTCCCATAAATATTAAAGGGAGGGTTGAGAAGAAACACTTGCACCTGAGGTCAAGTCTCAATTCAATTGAATTCAAAATCTTTATTAAGTCCTCTCCCTGGGCATGGTCCTGTGCCCAACAAACCAACTCAGACATTTGCTTTCTTCCAGGTCCTCGAATCTAGGAACTGAGGTGGGGGTGGAGATATAATATGCACGCAGATAAGTAAATACAAATCAGCTGCTATCACTTCCTATTTTTGAGAGGATCAGAATCAGAAAAGGCTTCAAAGGAAGAAGAGCACCAGGGCTGAGCCTAAAATGCAGATAAGGATCCTGAGAGGAAGACATGCACTTTACAATGCCCAGAGGAGGGCTTCTGCAGATACACTGAAACAGGAGACAGAATGACAGTTTGGGGTATGGTTGGTAATCCTATTTGAAGGGACATTAATGTGAACTATAGTTGGAAAGGTACATTGCTTATCCTAACTGCAAGAAAGGCTAGGCACTAGAACTGTGATTCCACTGATATATGGAACTCCTGCGAGAGGAAACTCTACCCATGAAATTTGACACTTTCTCTGTAATTTAGAATTTCAGAGTTGCTGAGAACACTGAGGACGGCTAGGTGGAGCAGTGGATAGATCCTGGGCCTGGAGCCAGGAAGACTCATCTGCCTGAGTTCAAATCTTGCTTCAGATACTTACTAGCTGTGTGACTTTGGGCAAGTCACTTAACCCTGTTTGCCTCAGTTTCCTCATCTGTAAAATGAGCTGGAGGATCTTTGCCAAGAAATGGGGTCACAAAGAGTTGGATGTTTCTGCACTGAGAGATTAAATGATTTACTCAGGGTCACACAGCCAGTATGTGTTCGAGACAGGACTATAACTTAGATACTCCTGGTTTCAACTGGCTCTCTAGAAACCACACCATTGCAGCTTCTTGTTTTCAAGAGAGCTGAAAGGAAAAGCCCAGCAACTTGTTAAATGAAACAACAAAGTCACGTAACAGATGAAGTCCTAGCTCTTTCAACTTTTTTATTAATTGTAAACAAACAAATCTCTAGTAGAGAGGGGCTTCCTCATTCTGCTGTCTCCTCTGCCATAAGTAGGTAGTATTTATGTCTGTATTTACTCAACTTTCACTGGTCCAAAGCCAATTATAATTGTCATCTAAAGACTCACCCTATATGCTCTAAATTTGCTATCTACTAGTTTAAGAAAAAAATTGGGTCACAGAGAAAGGTCAGTACAATCTGCAGTGAAATAATACTACCTTTTCCTCTTTACCAACAAAGCCTCCAAGTTAAAAATTTACTTATTTTATTTTAATTTTGAATTTTAAAAATGCAGGTCTATCATTTAATCTATTCATTTGCTCTCTGAATAGTTTCTATTTTAAACTTATACATTTACCTGGCTATTTTGTTGCTCAATTATGTTTCATAAAGGATCCCTGCTGTATATCTACACTGAACATAGAAAGTTCGGAATGGCCTATACCAAATCAGAGCACTCTGAAGCTCAAATTTCATGTTTGGCTTAAGTTTGTAATACTTGTCTATTTGTTCTATAAAGATCTAAATCTTCCTTCCCATTTACAAAGGCTGGCTAATCCGATTACATATTCTTCTGAAAAAAGGACAACAGGCTGTATAATGTACCTTGAGGGGGCTGCAAGCAGCCTGGTGGGGAGGCAGCTTGTGAGTCTGAGATCCCACAAATCCAGCCTGCAAGGGTATTCTCATTTATAGATTGAGAAGAAAAAAAGAAAGTCTGGATATGGGAGATATGGGGCAGATATTTAAATGAGATTTTGCTCCCTACTGAGGTTGACATAAATGGCACTAAATATCATTAAACCAACAAGCTAAGCTATGACCTAGGATCTGGAGGCACATATCATTATCAGTTGAGGTGCACCTGTGATCTATCGCCTCAAGTCACATCATCTAAGATGAAAATGAAAGAGGACTGTGATAATTTGCTAGATTAATTATTTATAAATCACCATGTTTGCTAATATAATTAATAAGCATCCCTTAAGAAGAAATCTTTGGGATTGATTGAATTTTCCTGTTTCCTAAGAATGTACTTTTCCTTCTTTCACTTCTCCTAATAATATATGATTCCTAATTAATGTCTGAAGTCTAGGCCTGTCCCTGAGTCATATTCTTCAGTATTATGAATTTAATTAGACAATGTCTTATAAATGCTTTCTGAGAACACATTAGCGACTTATTAGGATTCTTCCTCCAATAAACTTTTGTTTTTCAACTCCACACCCTGTAACAGAAAAACATTAAAATATTCTTATTGCCAAGAAGCAGCATTAAGGGATTCATAACCTTTACCACTGAGGTTTTAAGAACTTTGTTCATTATATATTCAGAACAGTTATTAATTATCAACCCTGCAGTTCCTCAGGTAAATAGCACCATGAATATTATCAAGGACATGCTAATGGCATAATTTGCCAACAAATTACTGTTAATTTACAGACATATTTTGATGGTATTCAAGGTAGAATGGTTTTTGTCCCCAGATTTTCAGTGTTTAAGTACAGAAACACAGCTATAGAGTCAGAGAATGGTTGAAACAAAATTTTTGAAATGCTGTCTACACTCTTTGAGACCATATATAATTAGTAAAACAGCACGTAGTTCAAGGCGATGTAAACAAGTTGAGGCAGTATATTTCCCTTAATCCTACCCTGCCCCCCATTTATTCTATTCTGTCTTTTGACCCTGTCCCTCCTTAGAAATGTTTGCTTCTGATTACCCCCTCCCCCAATCTGCCCTCCCCTCTATCATCCCCCTGCTCTCTTGTCCTCTACCCCCCCTTATTTTCCTGTAGGGTAAGATAGATTTCCATGCCCAATTGAGTGTGTATGTTATTCCCTCACAGGAGAGATTCTTAACAAATGCTTGTTGATTGATGGCTTATTATAATAAGCAATATCCATTGTTTTAATTATATTTTACAAAGAAAGAAAATATCAGCACAGACAGCAGATCTGTGTCTCAATATACTTGACTATTCCTACCAAATAAAGCAGCGTTCTGACCTTTTTATGTGTGTCATGGATTCCTGGCTTCCTTTAAGACTCAGTTCAAATCCCACCTTCTTCAAGAGATCTTTCCCAGTTCCCCTAATGCTATTGCTTTCCCTTTGGGACTGCCTCTTATTCACACTGTATATATCCTCAATGTATAGCTGGGGCCTGATTATCAGTGCAAAAAAATGAATTCCCAATATTTAAATTCACATTGCATATTACCATTGCCCTGGAATCAATTAAGGCATTTATATAATTATAACTTTAAATAATAAGAATTTGAGTATATGCTATGGCTTCACCGAATTCAGGGACCTTACTATATACATAGTTGTTTGAATGTTACAGTCCCCATCATAATATGAGCTCCTTGAGGGCAGGGGCAATATTTTTGTCTTTCTTTGTATTCCTCAATCTTAGCACAGTGCCTAGCACATAGTAAGTGCTTAAGATATATTTGCGTATTAACTCAATTATATGGATCTTTTCTCAGAATGTTTTCAGATGCATAAAATAATAACATGATCTCAAGAGAAACCAGTTACACTGAAATACAGCTATCAAAATAATAAAGGCATAAGTTCACAGACTCCAGGTTAAGAACCCTGAAATAAAGATTTTGCCAAAATACCACCATTTTCATGTTCACATTTATATTGGCCTGCAATATTTACAAAGGGTTTTGTAAAAAATAAAAAATAAACAGAGGACTTAGTACATGGTTTCATTTCATCCCTCATGAATATAGGTAAGTTATTAAAACATTCATTTCATAGGTAAGTAAAAACAGCTCACATAGGGTTAATGACTCGAACAGTGTAACACAGCAAGTAACTGGTGGAACTAGAGCTAGGCTCCAGGTTTTCTGACTCCAAGTCTAGTGTTCTTTCCCCATATAAATATAAATATATATATACTATGTTGTCTCCAGAAGGTCCTTATGAATGATAAACATTTTCTAGAGTATTCAATGCTGATCAGAGATCATCTAGGAATAGACAGAATCACATGTTCTTAGGGAATAATTAGGGTTACTAAAAAAAAAATTGTTCAAAGTGAAATCCCACATCCGGTTTAAAAAAAAACAAACCAACCCAACAACATAGCTAAGGTAACATGAGAGTGTCTTAGAAAAGACACAAGTTTGTATCTTTTGGTAGAATGTTAGCTCTATGATGAATGTATATAAAATAAAGAACAGCTAACTACATGATCTATGGAGAACATTTGGGACACAGTATTGCACATATTGTTTTTCAAACTTCTTCCTCCCCTCTCAATTTTATTTAAATTACAATGTTTAAAATGCTAAAAATTAGATAAGGAATACATGGAACTGACTATAGTATTTCATTAATAGATAATGTAAGGATACTAATACCATCTGTCATTCAAGCATTTACAGGAAAACCACCCAATGAGATGCTATAAAAGGATAATATGTGCAATGAGGTATTTTTTAAAAGATGTTAAGTTAAATAGGAATATCAAGCAGAACAGAAAAGATAAGAAAGATTAAGAGGCAATAAACAACATGCATTCATCTCGATCCTAGTTAATAAGGATTTATAGGTACCTGTATACAGCCTCTCCAATTTGTTATTTAGAATTATTGAATGGAAACATAATGAACTAAGTTACAAAAACCAATTTTGCATGTTATGGCTTCATAACAATGATTTTATAGTTCTCAGATTTACAAACTATAGAGAAAGGCTTGAAAATGTAACCATAAAGATTGACAAAGATTGAACACTGAAATATAACTAATAATCAAATATGATTACTATTGATTGTATTTTGTAAAATGCTGCTATGCTTAACTGTTTAAAGTTTATATTTTAACATTAACATTAATTAATGTTAATTAACATTAACATAGATCATTATCTAGGTCACTCTTCCCATCGATGCCTTCAGGGTACATTTCACCAATTTTCATTTGTTGTTGTTCAGTTATTTGACTTGTGCTCAACTCTTCATGACCCCATCTGGAATTTTCTTGGCAGAAATACTGGACTAGTTTTCTATTTTCTTCTCCAGTTCATTTTACAAATGAGGAAACTGAGGCAAACAGAGCTAAGTGACTTGACCAGAGTCACACAGCTAATAAGTGTCTCAGGCTAGATTTGAATTTAGGAAAATGAATTTTGCTGACTCAAGGCCCAGCACTTTATCCACTGGGCCACCTAACTTTCATAGTGCACTAAGAATATTGTATTTTATAAAATAGGAGAAAGCATTTGCATCAGGGCAGTCAGGACCCAGGGTCTCCTGCATACATGAACTCATTTTCCCTAGGTTACTAAGATTGTTAAAACTTTGGAAAAATGCCTTAGGATATAAAGACCATCTAGTCTGCCCACTCATTTTATAGGCCCAAGGTTAACTAATTTGCCTAAGTTTATACATAGGAAGTAAACAACAGAACAAGGATTCAAACCCAGGTCTTCTGATTTCAAATCCAGTCTCTTTCCATTTTGCCAATATTGCAAGAAAGGATTTTTTTTTATTATGCACCATGAAATAAATGGCTTGAGAATTATTATCCCTATTTGATAGATGAAGGAACTGAGACTTCCAGAGAAGTAACTTGATTAAGGTAACGTAGCTAATAAGTGTCTCAGAGGGGACACAAATCCAGGTGTCTTAGAATCCCTAGTTTCCCTCAAGGGTCAGGTCAAACATGATCTTCTACATGAGGCTTTTCCTGATAGCCTCAACTATCATACCTCCCTTTTCCAGTAATGACCTTGCATTTATATACACATGTGTGTGTCCATGTATAAAAATATATATATATATATATATATATATATATATATATATATATATATATATATAACACATTTGTATATGTGCATTTACACACATACACTCAGACACACATTATATAGGTACATGTTGCTCCCTTGATAGAATATAAACTCATAGTGCCTGGCTCTTAGTAGGTGTTTTAGTAATCCTTGTTGACTTGACTTGAAGTTAGGGCTGTTGCATTTCTCTTTTGTCTTTCTAGTGCCTAATACAGTGCCTGGGATACAGAAGACATTCACTAAATTATTGTTGATTGATTTTTAGTTAAGGTAGCTAGGTGGTAGATGGAGCATCAAATATGGAATCAAGAAGACCTGAGTTTGAGTCTTCCCTCTGATCCTTAGTAGGTCTATGACTTTAGGCAAGTCAGTTAATCTCTCAGTGTCTGTTTCCCCATCTGTAAACTGAGTATGATAATGGCACCTACCTCACAGTACTGTTGTGAGAATCAAATATGATAACACATATAAGGTATTTTACAAACCTTATAGCACTATAGAAATGTTAATTACTAGTATTAATTATTATAATTCTGCCTCCTAGTCTAGCCCACTTGCCACAGTAATATGTTGCCTTTTCCAAAAAAAAAATCACGTCTCAAAATCAACCAGCGATTATATAGCTTAACCTAATAATTGGCCTGTTAGATTTAACTTGTAACTGGTTCCATGTTGTAGTACCATCACCCACAAGCTAAGCAGTCCTGACTTTGGGGAAACAGTCAAAATATCATGAAGCTTTCCAAGCTTCTCTGTGCATGCTTTAAACTTACTTTTAGGGTTGTCGATCCACTTTTCTGTCACTACCATTTTGCTCACAGTGCTGCAGAACAAAACTACACATAGTAACAACCACTTACATTCCACAGGCTGAATTTCGATGTCTTGCAAGGTTAGAGAAAGAGCAAAGGCACAAGAGGAACAGACTTTTCCAGCATATCCAGACCCTTCAGGAAATCACAGAGTGAAAGGGCGGACAATGAAAAGCGCAGGAGAGCTGAAAGGGTGGGTAAGAGCACTGAAGCACCTGCAGCCTTCATCGGGCTACCTGTAAGTCTTCATTCAAAATTTTTATCACTGCCCATTCTTAAGTCATGCTGCCTATGAGAACAGTAGCAAATCCTCAGGGCTTAAACCATTCTTTCAGGATTTTAAAAGTGGTTCTCATTTTTTTTTATCAGTATAGTGAAAATAAGCAGGAAGGTGTTCTTATTTGGGATGCAGTATTTTGTATTCTAAAGCTTGGATGGCCTGCTTTGTGGGTTCCATTCAAACTAAACGCATATGAAAGTAGAAAAACAAGTAGTGGTTGAGAAATATGTCATGTGCCACATTACAAGAATGCAGTGTTCAATTTAAATAGGGACCATGTAGCATAATTTCAATGTATCAAATCATCTATAGTGCCCTTTAAATTCTCTAATGGATGGAAAAATCCTATCTAAAAATCAAAGGAGTTTATGTTATATACTTATCACTTGCATATATATATATACATATATATATATATAAATATCTATCTATCTATATATGGCTAGCAACTAGATATATTTCCCTCATCTAATAATCTTTTAATTAAAATACCTTTTAAAAATAGCATATTAAACCTATAGAGTAAATAATTTTCAAAAACAGATCAAATAGCTTGAATTATAAAACAATTCAAGTTTTACACTTAGCCCGAAAAACAAGTATAGAAAAATCCATTTAACAGCAATTTGCTTTGTTTTTTATAAAATATATTTTTTCTCTCTAAAGAGACAGTCTCAGCTGGTTGAGATATGGTAGCTACTGACTAGAAGATGTTGGTATAAGTTGAAGCCAGAGTTCAGAAACACACACATAGATTATCATGTATCTAATTGAAGTTTCCTCAAAGGTGAGATAACAAATATTTTTTTTGAAAAAAATTTAAAAATTAATTCCACTTTTAAAAATAAACATAATGAAGTTCCATATGGGACATGTTTAGATGAACCAACAGCTTCATTTCACATTGCAGTTCACATGAAGAATTTATTCACCCTCTTCCCACCTGGATATCTACACTGTACACTGTAATTTTAAGCAGTCATTGACAATGAACTAGTGCATACACCAAAGGCTTTGCACTTTAACCAACAAAACTGTATAACTGCCAATGAAATTTTTCTGTGATCCCAGTAGTTTTTTCTCACTGCTTTTGAAACTGCCATTCAAATACTTTTATTAATAGCATTTGAGATTGACAGTTTATACCCCCACCATGTGTTTTTGTTCACTCCTGCCTGACTCTTCATGACCTCATTTGGGGTTTTCTTAGCAAAGATACTGGAATGCTTTGCCATTTCCTTCTCTAGCTCATCTACAGATAAGGAAACTGAGGCAAACAGGGTTAAGTGACCTGTTCAGGGTCACACAGCTAGTTTGATTTGAACTTCAGATCTTCCTGACTCCAGACATGGCACTCTGTCCACTATGCCACCTAGCTCCACATACTAACCCCGCCCCAACCCCTCTTCACTTCAGCAAATCCTAGGAGTAGAGAAGTGATAAAAAGAGGCAAAAATGACCACGAAGTTAGTTGTAAAATCACCAAGTCTCCATTTGGTAACTCTCTCGTATATTCAGAAAACAATTCAGCAGACGCGGATGGTGTTTCTGCTGGATCAGGTTTACTGATGAGTTTATAATGAGAGATTGTCTATGTGGGTGGTGGTGGCTAGGGAATGGAATGAGACAAATGCTCAATAAACTTGGGGAGGAAAACTAAGAATGCAGCAGGATATTCACGACCAGAATTCCTAATATCTTCCTTTCTGTCAACACACAAAATAAAATGCTTCAAATTAATCTAGCAGTGGGATGCTTTCAGAAGCTGAGATAAAATTGATTACAACAGCACCCCTTCTCTCCTTCCTTCTTTACTCTAAATAATAAGGGGAGGAATGGAAAAAAAAGTTAAATTATCAAGGCCCATATTATCATCATCATTAGAAACCATTATTGCTGTGTGAGAAAGCATAAATGATGAGTGTTAGGCAGAGTTCTGGGTTTAAGTAAGACCTGGGTTTGCAGTGCCCTTCAGATACTTCAAGTACCCACCTCCGACCCTTACGAGCATTTTGACTCTCTCTGGACCTCAGGTTCTCATCTGCATTTGATGACCTTGAAAGTCTTTTACCCCTTAAACTATGATTTTATGATCCTTGATCCTAGCTGAGTCAGTGAGCTGTCCCTCCATTTTCTCATTTGTAAAATGGAGACAAAAATACACCATCTACCTCAAAAGTTTACCAGGAAAATGCTTTGTTGGCAGCTAGATGGTGTAATGGACAGGAAGCTTAACTTTGAGTCAGGAAGCCCTCATTTTAAATCTTAACTCAGGTACTCAGAGCTGTCCAACTCTGCACAAGTCAATGGATCATTCTTACCCTCATTTATAAAGGGGAATACCTCCTAGGATGTTCATGAGGATAAAGCACGCTGCAAAATTTAATGGCACATAAATACTAGCAATTATTTTTAAACCTTAAAACACTACATAAACACATATTTCTTTTCTAGGGATGGTTCTAAAAGCCAGAAGAGGGACAGAAGTCTACAGTAATGGTTAATACACTAATAGAGAGGTCCATCCTTCAAGTACAAAGGCAGGAAAGATGAGGAGAGTGCTCTACTTTTACTGAGGTTTAATTGGATGTGTAGTTTAGGGTTTTTTTTTTTGTATTCACAGTCCATATTCTTGTTAGATAAGACATAATGTCAGTTCAGTACCAATGGATGGAAGTTACAAGAAGACTGCCTGATTTCAGCCTGATGCATGGAAGGACTTCCTAACAATTAGAGCTGGTTGAAATGTTATCCTTCGAAGTATCTAGTGCTTGTCAATGAAAGCAGCTCCTTGGCCCTGGAGGGCTTCAGGCAAAGGATGGATGATCACTTATCCAGGATGTGGGAGAAGAGCCATGTTTCATATAGTACTGGAACTAAGTGGTCTTTAAAGTTACTTCAAATGCTGAGATTCTATAATTCTATAAAGGTGACTAATTTCTCAATTCAGGTTTGTTAGCCTCCTTATTATGACCCTGACCCAGTCTATTTGTGATGGCTAAATATTCAGATATTTATGTATTTTTTTTAAGGCAATTGAGGTTAAGTGACTTGCCCAAAGTCACATAGCTAGTAAGTGTCAAGTGTTTGCTCTGAGGCCGGATTTGAACTCAGGTCCTCTTGACTTCAGGGCCGGTGCTCTATCCACTGCGCCACCTAGCAGCCCCAAATTTATGTATTTTCTAAAATGTTTTTAAACATGTAATTCTACTACCATATTGATTCCTGTATTAGTCTGAGTTACAGAGAAGAATTACAATTTTATCAAGTGTCCCTTAAAATGGGGTAGGGAACCTGTGGCCTCTAGGCCACATGTGGCCCCAAATTTGATTCAGTCAAAGGGCCACACTTGAGGACCTAGAGGGCCACTTGTGGCCTTGAGGGTGCAGGTTCCCCACCCCTGCCTTAGAGTAAAAATCACTCATTGATTGACCTGGGTGAGCTACTGGTCTGACCTAAAATTTCTTGCATTCTTAAGGCCTCAGTGATATTAGCAAGGTTTTTTTGGGTTTGGGTTTTTTTTTTTGGACATGTTAAGTTTTACTTCCTTTACATAGTCTATTGTGAGGAAGAAAAGTATATCAGGCACATTGAGTTTCACTGAGAAAAAAGGATCAATATTAAAATCAAAATTACATTTTATTGTAAATAATATCTTTGCTATGAAATTACATAACATTAATTTTAAGTGTCTATTCAAATACCAAACAACATAATCTGTAGTGCAACTACCTCAGCACCTGATTAATGCATTTGTTGAAAAAGTAACCAGAAGGGACCTAGGAAGCTATTAAGATATTATAAATAAACGCCAGAAAAACCTGGAAAGACCTGCATGAACTGATGCTAAGTAAAGTGAGCAGAACCAGAAAAACATTGTACACAGCAACAGCAACATTGTATGATGACCAACTTTGATAGACTTAGCAATTCTTAGCAATGCAAGGATCTAAGACAATTCCAAAAGATTCATGCTGGAAATTGCTATCCACATCCAGAGAAAGAACTATGGAGTCTGAAATGCAGATTGTAGCACACTGTTTTCTCTTTTTTCGTTTCTTCTTTCTTGTGGTTTTTCCCTTTGGTTCTAATTCTTCTTTACAACATGACTAATGTGGAAATATGTATAATATGATTGTACATGTATAACCTATATCTGATTGCACTCCATCTTGGGTAGGGAGGATGGGAAGAAGGGGGAGAAAATTTAAAATTCAAAATCTTATAAAAGTGAATGTTGAAAACTATAAATAAATGAATAAATAAATGTTAAAACAACAACAAAAAGAAATATATGCCAAATTTTACCTCTTATTATCATATTAATGTTGGCCCTGCTAATAATCCTGCCAATGTGGACTTTTGCAAATTCTATTCAAGTTGAAGCTGTTTAAGTGACACATGTCAGGGCAAGTGACACATGTCAGGGCAATCAATAAAGAAAATTATCTCTCAGTTCTTCTCTCCTTAATCCTCACTCAAATTTTACTCTCATCTATAAGGTTTTTAAAGACAAATTTCAGTCAAAAAATGATTTTAACAAGCCAAGTCTTATACAACTGAGTCAGGCTACAATATTTAAAGACTATATTCTTTCCTTTGAACCAGCATACATTTGAGCGTCTGAATAAAACAAAAGAAAAAATATTACCAAAACAGTAAAAAAAAATTTTACTCCAAAAAAAAGTTAATTTTATTGAGATACAGCTTCAGGTTACTAAAATAATGAATTATTTCCACTTTAAACAGTAGTTAACATGTTTTAAAGAAAATTTACAATTCTGTTTTTTCTCATATGTATAGAGGCATAGTTATATAACAAAAAGATTAGGAATGGTATAAACCATCTACCTTTTGAAAACTAAAATTATCAATGTATCACTGCTAAAGTTCTTTTTCAGGGGCTTTTTCAAAGTTCACTGCACTAAAATCATGTCCATTTGGATTACTTCTAATTCTTAGGTTAAATTTTTTTTTTCTTGACAAATGTTGCACAAAGTACATATTATAACATGGGCTACAAAACACAATTACTTACCCTGTGGGTAGCTCCTCAAACTCTTCTGACCACTGCTCCTGGACATCCTCAGTAGAAAGATCTACATCTCGGGTAGTAGCAAAATTGAACTCACTGCCTTCGGTTCCATGAAAATAAATGGCATTCCCATCTGATTGGCAGCTATGCTATAGAATATAAAAAAATAAGCAAAGGAAGTTGCTTTCAGGTGAGTTTTATAGCTGTACAATTAATTCTCATTTACATTGGGAGCTTTGAATCATTAAATGGTTCATCTACATGAGTTTACAAATCAAACCAAGAACTAAAAAACCTGTTCATTCATTTTTAAAAAATCTTTCTTGAATTGCTACTAAAACATCTGTGCTTCTCGTTTCACCTTATAAACTATGTCTATCATTTGCTAATTTTGTATAGATAAGAGGTCAAAAGATCATTTGGGGTGTGACTTCCTTAATAAAGTATTCTGAATGGAATAGAAGTTGGTTAATTAGAATGATTTCCTATTCTTATCACAGTCCTTGTTTGTGGGCATGAGGTACACAAATGAGTTTTCACATATTTTCAGCTTTATGGTTATGGGCTAAATCACACTGACCTTTTCAATATTCTATATTTTGCTGGTTTGCCATTCAAGCCCTTCACAATGAGTCTGCAAATGGGATATGAGTAGAATGGCTAGCTAATCAAAACACGGAACCCAGAAAAGGTCAAGGTAATTCCAAGTATGGCTCTTTTTATTCTGCCATCTTGACACAGGTGCTTGAAGGAGCTAAGATTTGCACAAGGTTGATTTTCAACTGAGGTCAAGAGATGTTACGTCATTCCTTCAGTGTCCCTCAACTGAATATAGGATATGAAAAGACTAAAAGGAAATAATTTCTCAGGATAGCTTTTTCCCTCAAGAAGTTAACATTCAATTTCCAACCATCTATAGGAGTAGAGCCTTGTGGGGTGAAAATTTAACTTGAGAGTTGTATAAGAGGGTAATTTGTTTAATTTCAGTGGTACAGCATTGTACTATTGAGCAATGAAGTACTCCTGCAACGTGGCTACCATCATGCTGTCACCATAGAGAATTCTCCAGAAATACAGCATGAGACAATTGCCTGATAATCTTGTTCATGTTATGTGTATTTGTCCCCTCCTAACTTAACAAGTTCCTGATACTCAGTTCAAAAGCTAAAGCATCCAGTGTCCATAAAAGGAAATAGAAACATATAGAAATATTGACAGAGCTGTGCATCATTTAAAGACAAACATTATACACAAGAAAGATAAAGAAATCTTTAGTTATAAACTTGGTAAAATGCTATGAATACACTTAATCCTAGATAAAGGTCAGAGCAATTATCATGAGATTCTGGAATTCTGATCAGCCACAGGCTATATTTACCCTAGAAATAACAAGAACTCTGCCACCAATGCAGCTTAATGGTTGAATGATTAAAGAAAGTACCACATGACACACTAAATCATTGTCAGAGAAAATGGGCCATGTACAACATGAACATGTTTGAAAAGAAAAGATCATTTGTCCTTTTTAAAAGATACGTATTTGAATGAAAAAAAAGAATGGAATATATGATATAAAGATCTCATAGCTATACACTAATTCAAATATTCCAATTTTAGTGCATTTAAAACATTTATTTAACCTCATATTTTTCTTTAAAGATCCTTGGAGAAATGATGTTTATTGCATATATGTTATTCTATATTTTTATAATAATTCTATTCTATTAAAGGAAAAACTAGGTTATCACCCTATTCTTAAAGTTCACATTGCTTCTTATTTTCAGTATATTAGTTGGGATGGGAAATTCATTTATCAGTAAACTTGAACAATGAGAAATAGTGCAAAACACTCTCAGGCTATTCATGTCTCATAAAAACAGATACTGACAGTGGAATTGGGGCACAAAGTTTTTTTAGTGGGGCTTTGTAATAATTTGTGTATTGCAAATCCTAAGTATACATTTAAGTACACAGATGTATCATTTGTGTCTACATGCCTGAAGAAAATAAAATATGAAATATATTCACACAAATAAAATGTTTTTATAAATATATATTCCCATTATATACATATATAAACAATTTAATAATTCTAATAATAACAATAAAAATAAACATTTATATTATATTGTCCAGTTGTTTTTCAGTCATGTCTGACTCTTTGGGACCCCATTTGGAGTTTTCCTGGAAAAGATACTGGAGTGGATTGCCAATTCCTTCTCCAGCTCATTTTACAGAGGAGCAAACTGATGCAAAAAGGGTTAAGTGACTTGCCTAGGATCACGCAGCTAGTGTCTGTGGCCAATTTGAATTTAGGAAGAGAAATATACTGACTCCAGGCTTGAAACTCTATCCACTGGGGCCACCTAGCAGCTGCCCTACACATTATGTAGACAAAGCAATAGTATTTTTTAATGTTAGCATATTTCTGAACTATCTCAAGTCATATTTGAAATAGCAAATATGAAGAAAGCAGTGTGAATAAATCAATTCTGAGCTTTGATTTTGAGTTAAAAAGAGTTATACAGCAAAGGAAGTAAAGTCAGCTTTGTTTTACCTTGGTTAAGAGTTCTATCTTATTGACTTTATTTTTGTACAAAGTATTTTTGTACAAATCATAATTAGGAGATAGACATTGGCTATGTGATCCTGAGCAAGCCATGTCACCTTTTGGTTCCCAAGGCCATGAAGACCACAAATTTCAGAGAAAATGCTGTTCTCCATTGGTAGAAGAAGTTCCTCACCAGGAATTCTCTATACCAAAGAAGCCACCAGTCCGTTACAAGAAAATAAAATTTAAAAAATAACTATAATAATGACAATAGCACTTATATAGTGTTTTTCTTCTTATAAAGTACTCAACACACACATCTTCACAATGACCCTCTGAGGGAGGCTGCCATTTTTCAGATAAATGGGAATCTGAAGATTCAGAGTTTAAATTGATGTGATTCAGTAATGTAGCTAATAAATTGGCAGAACCTAGAATTAAATTCTGTTCTGACTACACTGTTTGTGTCTTAAATGACTGACAAGATATTGAAATCCAAAAATCAATATTTTTTTATTGAAAACATGAAACTAGAAGCCATTTTTGCCCTCCAACTTTTATCATTTTTTTTCAAGTTTGCAAATTTTTAGCATTTTTCCACTATGCCATGGATGGTATCATATAAAATCCAGAATGAGTTCCTGTAAGCTAATTTAGTACCTTACTCCTGTCCTTATCCCATAATGCTTTTTCCTTCAAACTTTTTACCTCTGAGTGAAAAACAAGTCCTGCTTTCATGAAAGAGAAGCAATGTGTTACAGTAGAAAAGAGGTCTGGCTTTGGAGGTCAGAAGGCCTGGATTCAACTTCTGCCTCTGTCACATACTGGACTGAAGGTGCTTTCACACCTGGAGTTTCAAACACCGATAAAATTACAGGTCTTGAACCCTATAAAACAATTTCTATAAGTTTATATATATTTTCTGTAGGGAAAATCTCTACTTTTCTCATTGATCAAAATAATAAATTCTCTTCAATTTTAATACCTTCTTCAAACCAAAACAATATAGTTTCAAATCACTTTGTTATTAGTTTACACTAAAAATAAAATCACACTGGATTTAGAGTAATAGGACCTCAGTTTGAACCATAGTTCTGCCACTGATTCAGTGTGTGACCTTAGGCAAGTCTTTTCCACTCTCTGGGACTCATTTTCCCCTCTATAAAATGAAGGAGTTGGGCCAGATGATGCAGAGGTCCTTTATGGCTCTAAAAGTCATACAAACAGCTGAATTGCCTAGGAAAGTCTAGAGGATTTAATTAGCTCCTTCCTCTTCCATACTCCCATTGTTGAATATGGAAAGAAGGGCCACCTTCTATTGCCCTCTTAGTATTCTCATCTATGTTTTAGGAGAAGAAAACGTTTGAGCACGGAAGAGGCTATGATCAACTTGAAGTACACAACTATATTGCTGCCGTTAAGTGGCTCAGAGCAAGGTCTGGACTATGCCTTTTTTTCTAGGCAGTAGGTCCTGAATGGGGTGATGGCTGTGTTTCGTTAGCGTAATTGACTAGAAAATTATGCTAATGAGGTCAAGATTCCAGGCTTTATTCTTATCTGGGGCAATTAACTCTGTCCCCTTTACCTCCCAGTATGAAATGCTGTTTGGCTTTTAAAACCTTTCATAACCTGGCCCCTTTCTACCTTTCCAGCTTTCTTACACTTTACTCCCTTCAACATAATCTGCAATCCAGTGACACTCACCTCCTTGCTGTTCTTTCCACAAGAAATTCCATTTTCCATCTCATTGATTTTTTACTGGCTGTGTCCTGTGCTAGTTCTCTCCCCACTCATTTCCATCTCCTGGGTTCCCTGCATTCCTTCAAGTCTCAGCTACAATCCTACCTTCTGCAATAGCCCTCTTAATACTACTGCCTTCTCTGTTGGTTATCTACAATTTATGCTGTATATATTTCATTGGCAGATAGTTGTTTTCATGTCATCTCCTGCATTAATCTGTGAACTGCCTGAGAGGAGGGAGAGGGAGAGGAGAGAAAGAGAGAGAGAGAGAGAGAGAGAGAGAGAGAGAGACAGAGAGAGAGAGAGAGAGAGACAGAGACACAGAGATAGAGAAAGAGACAGAGAGACAGAGAGAGAGAGAAAGAGGGGGAGAGAGAGGAGAAAGAGGAGAAGAAAAAAAGAAGAGAGGAGAGAGAGGGAGATGGAGGGAAAGAAGAAGAGAGGGAGAGGGGGAGAAAGAGAGGTAGGGAGGGAGAGAGAGAGAATCAGCTAAAAACACATGCCCTAATAGGGGTGATTCAGTAGCATTGTCTTCATATGTAAGGACACATGCAGATATGGTAGGTTTTGTATCTTGTACATAGCATGGGCAGAACTGATCCCCCCCCCCACTCTGTGTTAGGATTCATAAAAAAAAATCTCTCATGTGTCTTTCTGTACTCTGACAGCCTACTTTGATGACAGAAGGGTTGACTATATAATATAAAAGGAAAAGAAAAATTAAGTGACATGGGCAAGATATGAGCTTTTTTTACGTAAGTTCATGTTTTTGAGAGCAAGATACAAAGGTCACCTCTCATGTCATATAAAACACCAAGAGAGAAGTGAAAGGGAAGAAACAGAAAAGTATAGAAAGTA